TCACTCAGAAACAGATCTGGGACTAGGATCCAGTTCTTCTGACTCCCAGTTTACTGCTTAGTTCATGGAACCATGCTGTCTTTGAAAATATATAAAGTAATTTCTATATGGTATGAATATTGCTGTTAATACAGACTATTACTACAGAGTGTTAATAGTCAGTAAGTAATAGCTAATGACATAGTAATACCGTTATTATACCTGTTTCCATTTTTTGGGGACATTTGGAATTAGAATAACTTGTAATTTTTAATTTTAGTTTATTGACCTTTTTCATTTTACTATTAGATAAAAAAATGTTGATTATCTTCGAGATATAAACTAGTTGTTTTTAAAAAGTGCGTATGTGGTAAAAAATAATTTTTAATCACATTTCTGCCACTTTTATAATTATTGGATGAAATATATAACCTTGCAAAGATCTGGCTTTGACTGATAAGGGAGTTGCTGTTATGAAAGAAAGAGAGAATTTAGACTAAGCATTCCTCCCCGAAGATAGCATGTGTATCAAAATGGAATATTTATAATACAGAATTATTATGTATAAATCATTGAATGCTTCAATTTATTAAGTTCCTTTTCCACATTTGGAAATGTTTTTCTTCATTGTGTTCCTAAATTACAACACGCGTTGCAGCCTCACAACAGACAGATTGCTCTAGAAAGCTTCGCTGTCCTCTGCACTAAAATATACGTGTCTTTTGCTTAGACAGATGAGGGAAGGGAAGAAGAATGTCTATCAGTTTACTTTTAATTTTTCTTGGATTTGTAGTGTTTGGGCATGGTCTCCAATATCCTAATTATGAACACATAATAGGATGCAAAGTGTGTTAAAACTCTCTAAATATTTTGGTTTTTCCTTTTTGCCTGTCATAACATTTTCATGTTTCTAACTTTCATATTTTGATTCAAATGTAAATACTCTGGAATGATATAAAAACACAGGAGTTTACTTTGAACATGGTGTGGAACTGCCTCACCCTACTGGTACTTATGGGAGACATTGTGTTCTTGTTTAAGTAAGGCTTTCATCCATTGAACTTCAAGGTTTCCACCTAGATTCTACCTCCCAACTTATCCTGGCTCTCTACCTATTAATTTTTCCATCTCCTTCCTTTCATTTCTAATGGAATATTTTCTTTCCTTTGCTCTTTTGCCCCAATATGAAACATCCCAGTCATTAGAAGCTCAGTGATCTTCTAGGCTAGGGACAGACATTACACATAAACTGGTTTAAGTGATTAGAAACTGGTTTAAACCTGTAACAGAACAGAAGTTCAGTGAACATAAACCAGTTTGAAAATGACTGAAACCAGTTTGAGAAAAACTTGGTTAAATGTGGTATCAGACTTAATGGATTTGGCTCAAACTGGTTTATGCAGTGTCTGCCCCAGACCTCTTGCTGGTTTAAGATAAACCAGACACCCCCAGCATCCCAGCATGCTCTCTGTGCTGGGCTCTCTGTTCCACGGCAGAGCTGATCCCTCCCCTCTGCTTCCTGGCTGGAGCTTTGGCAGAGATTTGCAGGCACAGCAGGGTCTGCCTGGCTTCCCCCTGCCCACCCCTCCTGCTGCTCGCTGCTCAAGCAGGAAATCTCCCCCTCCCTCCCATCTCCCACAGCAGGGACCCCAGCACCACAGACCCTAGGCTTATGGTATGCTAGGAAAATGCAGACGTGTGTGTCTCCAGTTTCACTGGGACAGGCAGACAGAACAGTGATTGCTTCAGGCTGTTTGGAGCTAATCAACAGGTCAGCTGGTAAGCTGTTTAAGAAGAGTTTGAAGTAATGGAGACAGCCTATTGTTTTGCTGGTCAAGTGATAAACACTGTTATCAGGCCCCTGCTGGCTTGCTCACCTGTCAGTTTTCTGCAGACAGTATAAAGAAGCAGGGATGGAAATTAAAAAGCTCCATACCATCAACAGATGCATGCAGTGCACCTCCTCCCTTCCATTGCCTCAGAGTGCTAGCAGGGGTCTGGGGTCTGGCAACACTCCCACCCCTTGAGCAGCAAGCAGGAAAAAGCCTGGGAGGGTACAGGCAGACCTTCCTAATCCGAATGTCCTGCTAGGGCCTGGCCATGTCCCCCTCAGCTCAGCACTGTACAAGGGAAGGAAGAGCTGCTTTAGCTCCCTTCGGCTTCTAGTCTGAGCCACCGCAGGCACGTGTCTGAATTTCCTAAGTCCAGAGAGAATGTCTGTCTGGTTACAAACCAGTTCAGCCTAGCCAAGTTAGACTAACCTGCGAAGATTGAATCAATTCAGGCTCAGGCTTTTTGAATGTCTGTCCCTCACCCTAGTGCTTGTGTGTTATGCTGCTACCTAGTGCTTTCCATCTGACACACAGGTGCATTCTGGCTCCTTTTGATAATGTCTTTCTCTAGCCTTCCCTGTTCACCATATTAAATAATGCTGCAATGTAAAAGAAACAGATGATTTCCCCTGTTTTAATAGTCATTCTTTTCTAATATATACTTAAACAAACAGAAAGCTTTCCATAAAGCTTTCCATAGGGTCCTGCTACAGGTTCAAATTACATCTGGATAGAAGCCAGTTATAGAGTTGTTACACATTTTCAGAAAGCCAATCTGTTCACTAACATATCCCAATCCATGTGTGCATACACACATATAGACACACTGTAGACAAAACCCAACATTACAAACCAAAAGGAGAAGAAAATTTTCTGAAAATGTTCTAGGTTTCAGGAAGCTGGTTGAAGCAAAAACAACAGATTGATAGCAATCTTGGAAATAATAGCTAAGATTAAATACATTAATCTACTGGGTAATCTAGGGTGTCTAAGGGACTCTCAATCTCTCCTGTGGATACTGTTCTAATCTGAATAAATAAATAGTCAGTGGCGTAGAAGATGAACCAAAGAATGCTACCTCACACGTGAGTTTCTAACCACCTACAAAACCAGTCTCTTTCTGCCTCCATTACTATTTATCAAACTGTATATTAAATAGTACAAAATAGCTGCAACAGAAAAGTTTTAGTAAGTTTCTGTCCCTCACCGCAACCAGAATATGTATGGTAATTAGGACACCTGCCTGACAGGTAGGAAACCTTATTCAAATTCAAGTCTTGAATCAAGCAGAATGTGATTTTGAATGTGGATATAAAATACTTTAATATACCTTGAGCCAACAAGTGAGAACAACACTTTCTGGTGATCAGAACAGGTAGCACCAGACTGTAGAAGCCTAGATTCCACTCCCCACTCCATTTAATTTATTTCTATGAAATCAAGCCTCATCACAAGAGGTTTTTTTGGCCCTAATATTTCAAAACACCCAATGGCCTGTTGGTTACAGTAATCTTCTACTAGGTGAGTCATGTTCAGATTTCCACAGACCTAGGTCTTTTTTTGCTTTTTCAGTTTCCAGTTTTTATGTAAAATCACAGGGTCATACTTGATTTAGGTCAAATTTCACATTGCTCTGGAATGAACAGAAATGTATAACTTCATTTCTTAATCAGAAGTGGCATTTGGTCCACTTCACAAAATGAGCTTAACAGCTAGAGAACATTCTCAGGCCTATGGAATCATTTCCCAAATGAGTCCTGGCCTACATCATTTGCTATAATCAAATTTCCACCAATAAAACATCAACTAGTTTCACTTTAATAAGGGGGTAGAGGGGCAGATCAAGGCCCCCATGGCGAGGGAGGGTAGGGGCTGGGGCAAGGGCAGGGGAAGGGGCAGGGACTGAGGCAAGCGCTGTTTAGCCAGGGTGGGGTAGGCACGGCACAGGGCCACAGCTCATTTGGGGGATGCAGGGAGAGGGAGCAGGGCAGCTCCTGCTGCCATGAGCCACTCGGCCGGGAGCCACTGGTCCAGTGGTTCATTCAGCATTCGCCTGCTCTTCTAGCTGCTCTCGCTGCTGCTCCCACCACTCTCTTGTGGGTGTGTATTAGGCATATTTTGGGAATGCCTACCACACTTAGCCATTCAGGGGACTTAGTTGAAAGAACCTATTTTCTGGATTTCCGTCAGCCTTGGTTAAGTTCTAAGATGCTCAGAATAGAACAGATTTTGTCATGTGCAGAAACTGAACATTACATGCCTGGAGAAAAAGACTGTCAAAGAGGAAAGTAGGAGAATGACTGTATGTGCTTACAGGTTACTTAGCTGAGAGTTTTTTAGATGTCTCAATTCTACTTGAATCCTGCTTTGCCCATGTCTTTTACTGGATCTGGTCCTTTCTTGAAATTTACTGTACTGCTGATGATTTGTCTTCCTTGGAAGAAGCATTCATGCATTCTGTTAATAAAGGGGTGCTAATGCTTCAGAACTGGCCTTTTGACTGTCCAGACTGAGGGCAAAAGTAAAACATGGTGTAACAATGAGTACTTGGTAATCTGGTGATTAATTATTGTTGCAAAGAATACTACAAAATTGAGTGAGTTTTAACTCCTAAAATGTACAAATGTATTTTAACAAATGATGTCTACATATTACAGTCATATTTCACTGTGCAGGATCTTGTGCTGCTGCTACTTATCCCTGGGGAGTGCCCATGCCATGTGCCCCCTGGCACATGGCAGGTTACCCTGGGTGGGGTAATGGAGGTTGGGGCCAGCAACTGAATGTGGGGAATGCCCGAAAGTCTGGTGTGTTGCACTGCAGATGGGTCTGTGGTGCCATATACCCCATGGCCACACTCATCTGGACATAGCCATGAAGTATATTGCCTGCAACAACTGCCCTATTTGTTCTACCTGAAGCCTGACCCTAAATTGTTCTTCACTAGCTTCCATAAGTAAGGAGGAGCAAGTGGCAAGTTGATGCATTATGATCAAGGTATTCCTCAGAGCTTGTAGGCTCAGATGATTGCCTTATATTTGATTAAGACCAATGGTTTAGGCTCTGCTCCTCTGTTCTTATTCCTAGACATAACATACAGATTAATGATTTCACTTACTGCTACAAAATTATATCTATCAAGGTTCTATAGCATTTCTACATTATCAGTCTCTTATCCTTGTCTTCCAGCTCCATTGGCTACATTTATATGATTATTGTAAACAGCCTTTTTTGGTGAAAAGATAAGTTGAACCTTTTCAGCACAAGATAACTTATACATCTTAAGTAATGATGACAAAGAAAAGCATATCTGCAAGCAGAGCTCCATTGATTCTCTTTCTCTGCCAAATGATTACAGCATTGGAAGTACCTCTTGATTGTAAGTATTAACTTGTTAAATATGTGTTTAAATGTGATATGTATATATGTATACCAGAAGATATTTACAAGACCTCAAATTAAAACCTATACATGTATTAATTCATGAAGCATCTGTATAGCAATATATTTGATCATAAGGTACTTGCTATCAATTTTTTTTGTTTTTAAAGAACTTTACAAATATAGTGGCCTCTACAATTAGCCCAAGTCTAACTAACTAAGGATTTCTGTAATTATGACCAATTTATTTATTTAAATAGGCAAGAGGGCAAGGTTAGGAGGGATCATTAGAAACAGTTATGTTTTGATGGACAGAGGAGTCCACCCTCCAAAGCCTGACATTCATCCCAGTTTCCTGAGGCTTTGCATTTCTCATCAAAATTCTATAAAACCCAGTGGCAAAGTTTTCCATGCCCGGTAAGTGGTAGCCACACAGAAGATGACAACATACTACCATAATTTTCTCCATTAGGTGAAATGGCCCAGGTTTGTGTGGTGGATATAATGGCCACAACCCCGCTGATAACCCTTGTGGATATCAGTATGATGTCACATGATGGAATTTCTCACTTACTTTTTTCAGCTTGCTTAAAAAAAAAAATAAAGAAATTGCATGCAAAGCCCTTCTTTTTAAGGAGAAATAAAGACTGTTGGGAGCAGGGACTGGAGCCCAGGTGAATGCCTACAGAGTCATTCTTATTCTTCTGATCTGTCTTTGATGTAAATCTTGACTTCTTTTCTGCACAGTTGCACAGTTTTAAGTGTAGTGGCATAGATCTCCAGAGTAGCCAATAGCTTGCTGGTTGGGCCACTCCCCTGGGCGTGAGAAAAGAAGATGGGTTTAAACGCTGCCAGACAGTAGAAGGAACTGAATCTGGTTTGCCCACTGCCTGTGTAAGTACAATGCAAATGAAGTTATTGAATGAAAAGGGGACATTCCTTCTTTTTCCAGTCAGAAAAAGAAACTCTGGCTGCAATTGCATTTTGAAGGGAGTCTGATCTGACCTGTATGTATTAGGCGTGTTTAAAACAAGCCTACTGCATTGAGTCCCCCAGGGGATCTTAGGTAGAGGAACACCAGTGGTAGAATTCTCTTACCCACTCCCTGTGTGTGTAAATGGTGGTTTTCTAGTCATGCAAGTGGCCTTTTGGTGGTTATGCATAGGTTATGATTATATAACCCCTGCACTAGCTGTGTAAAAGTGTGTGTGCATATAGACTGAGCTGTTTCAGAAGGATGGCTATGCACTGCCTGTACAAGCATTTGGCTACATCTGGATACCAATTGTTGTATCTCTGTGTGTGTAATTTGTGACAATGTAGCTGGACAAAAGCCCATGACTAATAGGGGGAAAAGTCGGGGGAGGGAAGGGAGAGGAGGTCCTTTCCATGTTTCCAGATCCCAGTCAGACTTAGGCCTGAGTAGAAGCTGAGCTGCTCGGCCCTGGTAAGAGTAATTAAGCTATGAGTGTGCAAAGAGGTGCAAGTCTAGGCACCTGAGGAACTTTAAAATTAAAAATGAGGCAGCCATCTGGTGAAGTGGCAACTCTGAGAGGTTTTCAGGATTGGTAGTGAATGTTGGAGTGATACTGTAGCTGTGATGGTCCAGGAATTATGCGTGAAGCAAGGATTTTTACAGGTGATATCTTTTATTGGACCAATTGCATGGTAGGAATTTAAGTTAGATGAGCTTTCAAATGCAAGGATTCTTCATTTAAGTCCTTTAACTCTTACCGAGATGATTTACAAAGCAAGTTCATGGATAGACCCATGTGAGGAGACTCTGGCCTGCTGAGCTGCTGCTGCACCTGTGTAAGCCAGGAGTAATTTTTTTTTTGAAACCCCAAACCTATTGCACATGATAAGTCAGGTCCTATGTGAGTAAGTGTGTCCAGGGATAGGTTCCTTCAAAATAGTAATACATAATAATATTTCTTTACATACTTGAGATAAATCCACCTACTATTTCTTTTCAGGATTGCAGTTTTGGACTTGGTCATTCCACTAAAATTCCAGTTCAGACTTCCAAGTCTTTACTTGGATCTTGTGCAAGGAACTAGCACCTAGTTCTGCAACTTCATCAGGGCATTCAAGCTCTCAGGTTGCAATCTGAAATGTGGCCATGCTTATAATCTGATCACCTCATGTGCTATATATTTTCTACTATTTATTAAACAAAGGAGACCACTTAAGAACACTGATAATTATTGAACTAGCTCAAAGTGAGCAAGCAATGACCAACAGTAGAGTAGTTTGTCCTTTTCATGTTCTAAAATGTTATCGATGAGCAGACTTTATGCAAAGTAAGTAATATGAGGTAAGGTCATACAGTGAAGCATGCGACAACTAAGATTAATAGTAATTTTCACGTATTTTTCAAACCAAAAGTAATTGCATATCTCTAAAATAGAATTAGATGCCTTTGTCTTCGTAAGAGTAATTTTAGCCTGAAGCATTTCCTTTGTTCTTCCATATGGGTAGATTGATTTTGGTTGCAGCAGGAGGTCAGTACACTCCATTAATTCTGATATCCTATCACCTTATCACTTCTGTATCAATGTTCTTTGTCCTTTTTATGTTAAAATCATATATCAGGATTGTTATTAAAAGTCAACATTTTCAGAACAGGTTCCTGTACACTGATCCAGAACGGTCAGTTTTTCCCCTTCTGATCTCAGTGTGGTAATTGCAAACGTTTTCTTTGCATTTGTCAGAGATACTTACTTTCCCCATATAACATGCTGATTTCCTTCTTACTAACAATTGGTTTTCCTTTCATCTTTGTTTACCCATTCACCTGCTGATTCTGATGGGGGGAAAAAAAAGCAAAACTTCTTGAAGAATGTAAGTTTCTGTCCACAAAAAAACAGACAACGAAAGATAGAATGTGTGCTGCTGAAACTAATATTTTTGCTCAGCGTTAATTGTAGAAGTCCAAGCAATGTGGATATGGCACAATTGTGTGTTGCTGTGGCTAAATGTTTTGTGCATGCAGTGATGAGAAGATTTGATTGTATGTATATATATCCTATATAAAAAACATTCAAATACATTTTGATTTACTTCATCTAAACATTAATAGCTTTATTTTAAAAAATAAGCTTTGCTATTACTACTTTCAGGAGTAAATATATTTGTTGAATTCACTGCAGACATGTCTGAATAAGGTAGAGGCAGTTGGACTTACACACTTTTTATACCTCCAAGGATATATTTTTAAGCTTGTATGGCTAGTTAATTGAGCCCCATTTTTCTGTTTGCATCTCTAGGCTAGCTGGTCACATGTTGAGTCCAGTGACTTCAAGTATAATGGATTGCACACAGGTGCAGGAGATGAGATCTTTCTGCAAGTTTTAGATCTTGGTTGTGCATCAAATGGTATCAGTATCCTTTGTGAGAAAAAGAGCTAAACTGGCACCCTTTGTCAGACAACACTTTTTCCAGCAACTCATAGGGTCTGAGAAATGCTACCTTGAGCTAGGGACAGACATTACACATAAGCCGGTTTAAGTGATCAGCAACTGGTTTAAACCTGTAACAGAACAGATGTTCAGTGCACATAAACCAGTTTGAAAATGGCTGAAACTGGTTTGAGATGAACCTGGTTGAATGTAGTATCAGACTTAACTGATTTGGCTCAAACTGGTTTATGCAATGTCTGTCCCAGACCCCTTGCTGGTTTAGGTTAAATCAGACTCCCCCAGCATCCTGGCATGCTCTCTGGGCTGGGCGGGGCTCTCTGCTCCACAACAGGGCCGGCACCTCCCCTCTGCTCCCTGGCTGGAGCTCTGGCAGAGACCACAGTGTCTGCCTAGCAGGGCTGGCCCAAAATTTTTTGGGGCCCCCTGCAAGGTGTAGTTTTGGGGCCCCCTGATGTGAAGAAGCCAGCATCAGTGGTGGGAGAGCGGGGAGTGTGGTGAACGGTTGAAGAAGCCAGCAGTAGGGAGGGGAGAGGGATGGCGAGTGGCTGGGAACAAGGGCCCCTTGGCTGCGGGGGCCCCCTGTGGCTGCAGGTTTTGCAGGATAGGATGGGCTGGCCTTGCTGCCTGGTTTCCCCCTGCTCCACCCTCCCCACTCCACTCCCTGCTAAGCAGGGATTCTCATGTTCCCATCTGCCTTGCACAGACACCTCTCAGCATTAGTTAGCAGACCACATGCTGCCTACAGTCCATACTGTGGCAGACATGACAAAGGCAGAATCAACAGGAAACTGGTAATGTCCCTCTGTCTTTTTCTTAATGGGATGATAAGCACTGTGTTATCAATTCTCTGCTGGGCTGGTCAGAAGCGGGGAGGGGGGTGGAAACCACTCCCTAATCAGAGTGTCCTGCCAGGGCCTTGCCACGCTCCCCTCAGCTCAGCACTGATACAGGGAAGGGAGGGCTGCTCTAGCGCTCCCCCCCCCCCCCGGCTTCTAGCCTGAGCCACTGCAGGCATGTGCTTGTAACTGCACAGACATCCCAGAAATGCAAACTGATTCTGCCTAGCCAGGTTAAACTAACGTGCAAAGATTGAATCAGTTCAGGCTCAGGCGTTTTGAATGTCTGTCCCTAGCTTGGGGGGGAAAAGAACTATCCTCTGACAGCCTCCCTATAGGAGAACTTGAAAAGCTGTCACCCTAGAAAGAAATCATCCCCTTTCCACATCCCCCACCCCCAACTCTCCCACCCCCATCCAATCACTTTTTTCTCTGCAATTTTTTTAAAGCTTCCAGGGTCTGTTTTATTCTGATTAGATTTGTATACCAGTTGCAGTATTGTGATTTGAACACTTTTTTCTGGCTATTGCATGATTCCTTTATTTATCACCATTAAGACTATTACTGCCTCTTCCTATACACCAGGAAGGATAGGAAGTACTTGTAAATCACACCCTTGCTTAAAAGCTGGATTTTATCTTTAATAGAATAGACTGAAGTCCTGTATCCAAACACCGTTAGATGGAAAGGGACTAAAATATGTATGTATTTCAGTTTGGGCCATGGGTCAGACTAAGAGAACAGCACATATTTGTAGTATTTGCGCAAGAATTTTAGTTATCACTGCTGTTAAAGTTACTTGTTATGCATATCTTACTATTAGAGTGCAACTTTTATGTTTTTGCAACTCTGCATCCTCTGAAGCCTAATCAATTATAAGATATAATGAGTATGAAAATGTTTACAAAGCTATGATACAAAACCATCCCAGGCTTTTCCATCCCAGGAAGCATCTCTTAGAATGATAAGGAAAGACCATTTCTCTTTTTTTTTTCTTTTCAAAATATGTACAAGAGCTTTTTGAATGTGAATGTGCACTGTAATGAATAATTTATGAAAATTGCCAAAATTTGCAAAGAATATTGGCTCAAATTCTGCTCTGAGAATATCAGAACAGTAACTTCCTTTTAGTATGACAGACAGTTGCACTGTGTGGCATTGGAGCACTTTGTGTGAGAGGCTGAACACTCTCACTGCCCAGGATATCATTAGGGACTTTGTTATTAAGACACTTTCAGATTTTGAATTACTGTCTAGAACTGGATGAAACTTTTATCACTGGAAAAAAGCAGATTTGATGACAAAACATATAACAAATTTGTTTTAATGTCACTGAAATTGAAATGTTTATTTTGACATTTTCAAAATGAAAGTTTAAAAAAAATTTTCTATACAGAATGACCTTTTGTTTCCATATTCATATTCCCACCATATTTTAAACTCTAAAAAGATAATAGGTCAAATAAATAAAAGTGTGTGTGTGTGTGTGTGTGTGTGTGTGTGTGTGTGTGTGTGTGTGTGAAGGGATTTTATAGAATTTTCCCTGCTTTTCTAAGCTGAACAGATTCACAGATAGAGCTCTGAATTACAGTTATGGTATTCATCTGGCTGTCACAGTTATGTAAACAGATCAGTAGATTTGTACTGAGACATTGCACTTCCATTGTATACAGCTCCATTTACCACAGAATCTGATGAAGTGATTTTGGGTTAACAAAAGCTCATGCATCTCCGATGGCCTGATACGGTCCATCTCTACCCTGCTGTATCTCCCTTTACCATGAAATTTACAGTCTAGTGTCCCTGCTGCATCTCCTTTTGCCATAAAATTTACAGTCCAGGGTATGCAATGAAATCTAGACAATTATGAATGATTTCAGATTGATTGACATACATTGGCATCAACTCCTTTGCCAGGAAAAGGGGTTTTTATCATCCTAATCATTCTTGCAGCTTGTCTGACCCTAAGTATTCTTGTCTTCTCCTTCTCCTCAAAATCCCCTTTAGTTTTGTGCATGTTCAATTTAAGGAGAATAAAAAAGTACAAGAAAGCAATAATATTTGTTTGGAATCCCAAAATGCTCATCTCTATCAGAATCAAGTTCTTTCTGTCTTTAGCTAGATAAGCTTACTTTTCCCCGCACTTTGATTATGGTCATATTTTCAATTAAAAATGTCTGTAAAAATTGTTTTACTCCTGAACGTTGCTTTCACTAAATTGTGCCTTAGTGATATATTAAACTTGTTAACATTGAAAGATAGTGCAAGGCTGATTCCCACCTGGATTGTCTGAAATGCCTTCAAAATTTATAAACTGAAAAAAATGCCACAAATATTTTGATTATTTTGTACATTGGAAATTAACTTTTTTAATGTGTACATAGGGCTTTCAGTTGTTTCTTTTGATGTATGTGCTAGCTTTCAGGGTGTCCTTTGACTTCACAAATATTGATTGAGTTTCATGATGTCTTAAACAAGGAATATCTGCTAAAATTTTGAGACAGCTATCAGGCTACTGTAAATCATCAGGGCACCACTGAAGTCAGTAGACAGACGCTGATTTACAACAGTAGAGAACTTGACCCATTGAATGCAAAGGATACTTTAATGCCAAATATTTGTTGCTAATTTTGTGGCTGAATGTATTTCTGCGTTGTGTGCTTATAAAACTAGTTTCTTGGTACCTTTAAAATATCTTTAAGTTTCTTCCTCTCTTTCTTAATTATATTCCACAACAAAGTGTCACAGCCTCCAACGATAACTCAGCAATCTCCAAAAGACTACATTGTTGACCCCCGGGAGAATATTGTAATACAGTGTGAAGCAAAAGGAAAGCCCCCACCTAGGTAAGTACTGTTCTTGTTGAGTTTTCTGTTCAAACAGGAAATAACGTGAAAAAAATCTAGAATAATGCACATGAAAATTAAGAGGGAATAAAGTTGTTTTCTAACCTCACATGCATGGGCGCGTCCAGATGAGTGCTCACATGCATCTTGCGGCATTTCAAAGCAGTTTGAGACGCTGCAAAAGGCATGCTGAAAATGGAAAAATGTTCCCCACACTGCGTATTTGCAGCACGGACTCTAAATTTGATACCTGGAAATCCAGATAACAAAAAACTCCCTGGGGAAAAGAAGCAGGGCATGGCACGGTCCAGGACTGTGCTCTGAGGCAACCCAGAGATAGTCCTCCAAAGAGACACTGGTATCTGGTCAGAGCATGTCTTTGGTGCTTCTGCTGCCCTAGCATGCTCCTTTAGCATGTGGGGCAACCAGATGCAGGGCAAGGCTGTGGAATGATCCAGACCTGGGAGATGGCCCAGGTAAATTGCCAGGGATGTGGGGGTGGAGGGGTTTATGGGTGTGGTGTGTATTGGTGGGTGCTGCCAGCTCCAGGGGCTGTGCACTGCAGGGGGCAGGGGGGCAGGTGTGTGGTCCCCGCTCAAACCCCACATCCCCCTCACACGCCCCTCCTACAAACCCCACATCCCTCCTACACGTACACACTCACCCTATGCCCCTCCACATCCTCCTTTAACCCACCCACACAGCCCACACCACCTCCATACCCACCCACGTCCCCCCACATCCACCTACACACTGCACACAGACCCCTCTACATACCTCACATCCCCCCCACATCCCCCCATCACACACGCAGCATGCCCAGCTGCCAGACAGAATGAAACCAGCTGGAAGGAACTGCAGCTGCAGGGGCAGCTGTCCCCACATCCTGATTAGTGAAGGGGTCAGGGAAAGCTCTAATTTTTCTATAGTGAGAAAGCCAAAAGCAAACATCAAAGCATATCGATATTTAGAATTTATTTTATTATGATGATAGAGGCACTGGTATGCTTCCAAATTGCTTTAAAATTGTAAATATTTCAATAAAGCATTGCCCAACTGATAGATCTCTCTCTTGTGTCTTGTGCACCACACACGTGTGCACTCACACTCTCTCTCTAGTCTATATATGTCTATATGTCTATAGTGGCCTTTTGTTTTAATTGTGGAAGAACATGGATGTTGGGATATTGTAAAGAGTGAATTTGAGATTTTTTTTAAAAATCAGAGAATGTGCAGTTTTTAAATAAGTAACACCAGGATTCCTGTTAGTGAGGCAAGTGGCAGGACCCAGGCAAAGGAGCTTTCCTAGGGCTGGACCCAGGACCCAGCTGGAGGGCAAATGAGGTGGCTGATCTCCTGGCCATTTGGGGCCAGGAGGACATGCTTTGAGAGTTCAAAGCAGGCCACCACACTGAGAACATTTTCCAGGCGATAGCTGCCCAAATGGCAGGCGGGGACACACTTGACAGCAGTACCACACAAAGGCCAGCCGTGCAGCTACAGCCCACTGGCAGCTGGCCTAGAGGTGTAGATGGTTCTGCTACAGTGCCTGTGCCACAGTCTAGGTGGCTGTACGGTCCCTGTCCAGGTCTGGTAGGTGTGCAGACATGGGACTGCAGATTCAAGGGGGCAGATGGTGTTGCAGGTGGCAGCAGGTCACAGCCAGGCAGCAGCCCCCACTGCCAGGCTGCTGCAATAAGTAGAGGGTAGAGGGGCCACTGTAGGTCAGGGCTGATGCAGCAGTCCCACTGGCACAAGGGGCTAGTGTTCCCATATGTCAACTGGCAGACCTCAGAAGCTCTTGAGAGCAAATAGCCCTAAGCTGGTCATGAGGGCAGCATTTATACAGATCCAGGAGGAGCTGGGTCAGTTTGCCCCAAGTGGCACAACTTGTCACACATTAAAGTGCATGTTCAGCTGTGTGCGCTGAGGCAAAAATCTTCAGCCCAAATGTGTGCCACTTCTATTTGAGCTGCTGCAAGCATATGTACCTGCATGTGTGGATGCACCCCATGTGCCTACATACACAAAGATTTAATATAAGCAGAAAAACCAAAAACTAAATATAAATGGAAAATAGAAGAATTGGAATAAATCCTTATACAGTAAAATCTCTGTTATCCGGCACCCCCAGGGTAAGGGGATTGCCGATTATGTAAAAACTCTGATTATCTGAAATAACCCAGCAGGGTTTTCAGATAACACAGAACTAGGGGAGCCAGGGTGTGGCAGTGGCCACACATGGAGTGGTAGCAGTGCAGGTGGTGAATGATGTCAGAGGCCGCCACGTGTGAGCTTTTCCCTGCCCACTCTCTTAATAAAGTATTTCGGTTGGTGAAGTACTGGATAACAGAGATTTTTACTGTATTTATCATCCTTATAATTTGAGCTTGTTATTATAAAAATAATTGTATTAAGCCACCTCATCCCATAAAAGTAAAACTGACTTGAATACCAGAACCATAAAAGTATTATAAAATGTATAATATTGCAAATGTTAACATCCTTTGGCCCTTTTCAGTAGAAAAAACAACATATTTCAATAAAAGAGGTAATGTGAATGCTTATGGAAGACTTTACAAAGTAAACCACAATATATATATATTGATAGGTCTGATCATATTCCATTCTTATACGTGATGGTGGAATCCCCAAAATGCAGGTGGTAACAAGATGTGTGTGTATATTTGTGAGGGCAAAACTGAGGAAGGAAGTCTCAAATTTAACCAAGGCCTCCCGCATTAATTTGCTTGAATTATATCTTCCAAATTTTTAAATTATGCAATTTTGTGAGCTAGATCTTGAACTACCTAAGCAAAATGTAACAAGTGCATCAGTTTGAATTTACTGTACATGTTCACTAGAGGCTAGAACCTGAATTCTGGCATTATAACTCATGAGAAAGGATTGAGCTGCTGCCCAGTTACATTTCTGTTGAATTTTTCAAATATTGCTTGTATTAAGTATGCTCAAACCAAACTTACCCTGGCTTCTCACCAAGCAGGACTTTTCATGCATTCACTTCTCCTTTTCTCCTGGTTGCTGGAGAAAAGAGATCTCTTCTCTTATGATCTCAATGTAATGTCAGTAATTCAGAGGTGACGGTGCACCATGATTTCCATTTTAACAAAAATAATAACATTCTTTAGAAATGGTGTGTTGAGTTGAATGATGAAATTGAAACCCTCTGCAGTCTTTGAAGTGCCTAACTTTTCTAGGCAGACAAGGTTCTTTGGGTGAATTTGATATCTTTTATTAGACCAACTTAAATAGTTGGAAACAATTATTAGACAAGCTTTTGGGTTTAAAAACCCTTCATCAGGCTAAGGAAGTTTCAGCAGTTGGTGTGTGCTCTTCCTGGATGGAATGAAAAGTAAAGAAGCCAGGCTGGGCTGGTATGCATACAAGACAGGTAGTCAGTGAAAATGTAGATTGAGGCATGAGAGACAGGCTGGGGGGTGGGGGAGGGCGGGGAAGAGAGAGAAGGGGGATGAATAGTGGAGAGATACCTGGGGAGTCAGATGTCAGGCAGGTTATAATCTGTCATAAATCCAATGTCTATTTTTAGTCCATGATTTTTAGTATCCAGGAGGTTGATGAAGTGGAGTTCATAGGCTCATCTCAGGGAAGTGTTTTGTAAGTTTCATTTGAGGATCAGGACTGAGAGATTGGAGAGAGAGTGGTTTTCTTGTGAGAAATGTGCCCCCCCAGGTAATTGGGTATTTCTGTCTTTGATAGATTTCCAGTGTGCATTCATTCTGGTACGCAGTTGTTGTTTGGTCTCTCCTACATATTTTCAATCAGGGCATTTGGTGCATTGGATGAGGTATATTACATTTCTGGAGGTGCAGCTGTAAGATCCAGGAATGCTGGTGGCTCTGTTGTGGGGTGTAGTAATTGTGGGGTGGTGGAGATGTGTTGGCAGGTTTTGCATTTCTTGTCCTGGCACGGTCTGGATCCTTTTGGTGTGCTCTGGGCCCGAGGAAATTTGCTTCTGGTGATGAGGTTAGGGAGG